GTATTTAGTGGGAACCTAATATTGTTTTGCTGAATTTCAGTAGCAAAAGTGAAAGAGAAGCAGGCAAATACACCCAGATCTTAATGTCAGATGCCCATGTCTGTGGCTTTAAGACTTATGCAGAAGTCTTTAGCAGAAATTGCCACTTCTGCATCTTCAGAAGTATTTCTGAAACAACAGATGCTACACATCAGAGATCCCCTCCAAATGGGATGGTCCTCAGCTCTCTATGAACTCCATAGTTTAGAGAATTCTCCACTGAGTTTCAATAAGCATGCTAGCAAACTTCCATGGTACACAGATTTGTTTTTTCTAATTGTCTCAACAATTAATTTAAAATCTTACAGACCAGGACTTTTGTAAGAACTGTCTTATCTGCCACCAACAGGATTCTTTCTTTACTTTGATATTTCTTAACCTCTCCATGAAGAAAAAAAAAAAGGGAGTTAAGATATATTCCTTTAAGGTATCTGGAGCTGCATATACTTTAACAGAAATTTAATAGATTGATTTATATTTCAGAAGTGTAACCAAGTACCCGTTTCTCTGATTTCACATGTAACGTGGATAACATGCATAACATCTCTCCTACCTGATTTAGGTGTTGTCCAATCTTTGAGCTCCATTCAGTCAGTGTTTTCTGGATGCAGTCCCGCACCTGCAAAACAGTTTTTCATATTGAAGTGTGAGTATGTTAGAGCTGCACAGAAATACAAGGGTAGGACAGACTGAGGAGGTGAACTAATAACACCATTCCACAGAAGATTCTTCCTTTATATCTTCTGAAATTTGTTCAAACTAGCTTACTTACATATTTTCCTCTCCCCTTTCAGAGTTTTAGCAGTCATACAAGTACTTACTTCATTTATTTCTCAGACCAGTGCCATCCTAAAGGAAAGAATAATGCTAAGCCAGCAACAACTAGGGTGTTGGGTGGTTTGGGTTTTTTTAGTGCGGAGATTCTTAAGTTACATAGTAGTCAGATGAGAGCATATGTGCCGTAATTGTAGAAATGAGGCTTTACAATCAATCAGTAAATACTCATTATATTAATTACTTCTCTTTTCAAGATGCATACAACCCTTCTCATTTTCTGCCTACCTACTCCAAACCACTAGTGCTTTTAAGTCCTTCATTACTGTAGGAGATCCTACCCCACATTTGCATTTTTCCTGTGACAACAGATGCAAAATAAGCTCGACTAAGATTCTGATCATGGATTTTCTTGAACATAGCAAGATATAACTATTGAGTCTAAATCAGCTGATTAAATGCATTCTGTACCAGCATGGCAGCTGTACTAATGATGCAGCTTCCCTCTGATCAGTCCTGGGAGTTAAGTACAGGTACTGCCCGACTGCCCTCTGCCACAGGTAGGAGCACTTCCACCAGCTTCTGCTTTACTTCACTTTCAACAGTATATTTTATAACTATGTGCAAACCTACTCTGTGTACCATTAAATAGCAATTTCCTATGACACCTACCATTAATTCAGAGAGCTCATAACACCATGTGCAAACTAGCAGTCAACACCCCCCTGATATCACAAAGACACAATACAGCAATAATACTTTGTGAGCACATTCTATACATTCTTTCCCAGTCATTTAAAATAGCATTAAAAAAAAACTGAGTCAAAAGGCCAGAACTGACCCAGTAAATAGCTAAGCACAACAACTCTAATAAAATAACTCTTCATGCTATTTTGATGCAATTTATAATGTTATCTTTTCCTTTCTGAGGGCAAGTGAGACAGTGCTAAATATATATACTCTATATGTTCCTGCTTTGCAACTGCCACGGTTCATATTTCTACTGCAGTTATGCACAAGCCTCTGACTCCAAAACACACCACTCCCCTGCCCTCGGGCCATGTGGAAACCGCAGGGTATTAGACTGTTTTGACCAGCTTTTCCAAACACAGCTGCATCCCCAAACTCCTAACACTGGGTTCATAGTTTGCAAAATTTTAGCTTACATTCTGCCACTGAGAACTATACACACACTAACTACACCAAATAGAAGAGTTAAAAGCTAATTTATTTTTGATGATTAATACCAATATTTGCTTTTGGAAATCCAACAACTCTGGAAAGCAGCCAGATTTCTCTGTAAACAAACGAATTTAAATACTTTAACTGATGAGTTATGCATGCTGGCCACTCTTCATTTAAGAGCCCTCCAGAAACTATTTGCACAAGGGTGCCCATAAGGATACAGCTATGTCTTTGCTACAGAATCTAGCCCTATTTCACACAGGTCACAGATTCTTTAATAAGTAACCAGGCCAAATAAAAAAGTTATTATCACATGACAACTAACAAGAGCATGATGAATTCCTCCTTCTTGTTACATCATCCTCCCAGACACCTTTCTTACCCTTTGTACATGATTAATGTGCACTCAACCAGCTTCCAGGTGATCAACAGTGTCACTGCATGGCAATAACCAGTGAAACCCATAGTTTTTCTACTTATTAAGTGACTATTCTGAGATTACTGTGTCATGATGAGACAGCAAATATGGTGGTTCTGAAGTTCATGGCCATAGGATCTCCAGATATTTTATGAGAACTGTTCTAAGTGTTGATACATACTGCTAGAGGTAATACTTTTAAAGTGGTGATTAAAAAGTTCTTTTCAACTTTTTAACAAAGAATGACAGCTATACTCTTTAAAGAGGACAGCAATGACTACTTTTCCCAAGACCTGTCACTACCAAGAAATTAAATTAACTTCAGGTTAGAAAAGAGAATTTTTATCACCTGTAATGCAAGCTCATAGCTATTCATATTTTTACCTTGCTAAAGAAGTATCAGGGATCTCCTTTGCCATTACAGGCAGCACTCAAACTTGCAGGGGTTTTAACCCTTCCTTCCCGAGACCCGAGGCCCGGGGGCCCTCCTTCCCAGGGCAAAGCGCTTCCGGGGGCACGGGGGGTCGACTTCCCCACAGGGCAGAAGGCACCAAGCACACAAAACCGAACAAACCCCAGCTTTGCCTTTCCCATCTCCCGCCGGCGGCGGGCGCGGACCGAGGGAGGCCAAAGCCTTTCCCCGCGGTGACGGGCACCGGGCCAGCCCGTGCCCTGCCAGAACAACAATCCCGCTCGGACAGCGCGGGGAGCGGCACCCGGCGCTCCCTCAGCCGCCGCTCCACCCGCGGCGCGGCCCGGCCCCCACGGCCCCAGGGCGAGCCCCCGCTGCGGCGTCCCGGGGGAAGCCTCGTCCCGGCACTCACCTCCTCGCCGGGGGTGGCGGGGCACTTCTTGCGCAGGCAGCCCCAGTTGAGTAGGTTGCCGGTCTGCAGGGTGAGCCTGCCGGCGCGCTCCAGCAGCGCGCGGGCGCCCTCCGTACCCATGGGGTCCTGGCGCTGAGGCAGCGGCGGCCGCCGGGCTCTCCGTGACACCTGCAGCCCCGGGCAGCGCCGGCCGTGACTCAGCGCCGGTACCGGGGCGGGGGGCGGCGGGGGGCGGCGGGGGGCGGCGCGGGGACAATGGGCGGCGGGGCGGGCCCGGAGCGGGAGCGGAGCGGGAGCAGCACCGCCTCGCGCTCCCTTCACGGCGCGGGGGCCGCACCGCGCAGCGCCCCCTGCGGGCGGACGGGGCGCAGCGCGCGGGGCGGGGCGGGGCGGGGCCGCCCGGGGGCGGGGCCGGGCCGAAGAGGCGGAGCCGCTCTCCCGGTTTCGCCGCGCTCCGGGCGGTCCCGGTGGCTGCCGGGTCGAGCATGTGTGTCCGTCCCGGCTCGGTGGTTTGGTCCTGAGCCTGTGGTTCGGTCCGGGGTCCGGCCCCGGCGGGGCAGCGGCCGCGACACCCCGACCCGGCGTCGCGCCCAGAGGAGTACCCGGGACGCACGTGGCGCTGCCCGGCGGTAGCTGCCGAGGGTTCGGTAACACCCCCCGGGCCGTGGGCTGCTGGGCAGGCTCAGTAAATTAATGAAACCATCTGAACTGTGGTCATGGCGCGTTCAAGTAACAGGTAGTCGTTGATAGACACCAAGCTAAAAGGCTCAGACAAGGCACCCAAGCGCTTATCCCGTCTGGCTGTGTTTGCTTTTGGGGGAAACAGTGTCAGAGCAGGACTCCAGTTTTACACCAGGTGATTCTGGAAGGATTGTGGTTTGGGGATTTTGTACTTTTCTTTAAGAGCAGAGGTCTTCTCGAACGCCACATGCTGACTATTCAAGTCCTTTTGTACTGGAGAATCGGAGAGGCGGCAGCTTTTTTTCTCCCCCCCCATAACTCAAAGGGAGCAGTGAGCCACATATTGTAATCTTCCTGTCAGCTTGGGAATTTGAATTGTGTTTCTAACAGATTTTCCTTCCTCAGGCTGCATGTTGTGCTAATAAAGAGAACCAATTTGCATAACTTCTGTCTGTCTGAAGCACTGCTTGATCGCTCTACGGTACAGAATGTTAGTTTAAATGTTCCTTATATTAATGTTCTGATTAATTTTTCATGTTGGGAAACGTTTTCCTCTTACAGAGCATGTGGAAATGAAATATACTGAAAGAAATGCCAGCTTATTTGGAAAAGCAGTATTTTTTTTTCTTTTTCTGTAACATAAAAATCCAGAAGGTCTAACCAGGCCCAAAGGTTAATCCCCCAGACTCAGGGTTGGCTTGGGAAGGAGTGTACATCTCCATATTTGCCCATATTTACACCAGTAATGAACGATGTTCTGTTAGGTCTTTCTGATCAGCCTTCTGGTTTCCAATAGAGGCCTTTTCTTTTGGTGAAATTTATTATTTGATATTTCATTTAAGTAGCTTTGATGGTTATAATTCCATGCAAGCAAGTTAAACTTGGAGATAGCAGAAGGTTTTCAAACATTGCATAGCATAAATCTTTCTGTTTAATGGAAATTTATGGCAGTGAAAAAGCAATGTTCCTTTGTAACCTTGTAGATTTTGCTGATATTTAATTACCTTAGCTCTAGAAAAAAGGATATCACATAATGAAGAACGGGTGGAGGAAAACAGCGTCAGCCTCTGCACTGCTTTATGCCATGCATTTCATTGTCAGTGACGGCAGGAATATATCACAGGAGAAGAAGGGATCTCAGCAGAGTTCAGTTGTCAGTTCAATCACCCCTGAAACATCAGGTAAACAACCAAAGAAAGAAAGGAGGATGTTTTCTAGTTCATGATTAGTTGTATTTTTGCAGGTTATCTCATTAAGCTACTTCAGATCTTAAAAAAAAAAAAAAAGGAAAGGAAAAAAGATGCGATTGATTTCCTGCAGTAATTCTGCAACGCTGGAAGAAAAATAAATCGCCCTTTTTGAATGAAATGCCACTGGCTCGTCACTCCCGGTGGCCGGTGAATATCGCTCTTCTCTCCGTTTTCGAACAGCGGGAGCTGCAGAACTTGGCGTGTGCGAGGTGCGGGCGGTCCCGCACTGCTGCGGCTGCCCGGGCAGCGCCGCTGCCTCGCCGGGAGCACTCCCGGCCCCGCTCCCGCCGCCGCCCCCCGCGCTCGGCCGGGCAGCGGCCCCGGCCCGGGCGGGGCGGGGGGTACGCGCTGCCCTGATTGGCCGCGGGCGGGGCCCGCGGACGGTGCCGCGGGCGGAGCGGCGGTGGCCGCAGGATGGGCGGCAGGGCCGGCTTCTTCGAGGTGGGTGCGGGCGACGCCGGGCGCGGGGGCGGACAGGGCGAGGCGAGCCCGGGCCAGGCCCCACAGCATCTCTGCCGCCGGCGGACGGGGCTGCCCGGGATTCCGGCGGGCTCCTCTCTCTTCCCGCTCCATCTGCATTGAAGCACCGGGGAGCCGGAGCCATCCGCTCCCGGGTCTGCCAAGGGAAGTGACCGCCGGTGGAGCCGGGGGGAGAACGCTGCTCACCGGCGGTTTCCTTGGGGCGTGGGGACAAAAGAGGCTGCCGCCCGCCCCGTCTTTTCCTACCGCGGGCACGTTCCCCTCTCCGTTTCTCGTCCCCGCGTCCCCGGTGTCCGTCGGACGCGGTCCCGGAGAGCGAGGCGGGGGGAATCCCCAGGCTCCCGGCGGTCCGCGGAGGCGCTGGATCAGTGGCTCTGGGCTTCCCGCGGATCCTGCCTCGGGTAGCACCGCGGGCAGCCTGCGGGGCGGGTCTGGCAGCGCGTCCCGGCCGTGCGGAGAGAGCGAGGAATGTTCTCGGCACCCAACTTCTCGGAAGACCCCGTCGCCAGCCGCTGTGCACCGAGAGCCGTCCCGCACAGCCTTCGGCCCGGTGCAGGCGTGGCCCCGGGGCAGCGCCCCCGGCTCGGCCCGGCTCAGGACGGCTCCCGGCGCGGCGCCCACCGTCCTGCGGGAGGAGCGAGGGGGGCTCTGCTGGCACGGGGTGTTCGATCTTGCGTGGGGAACGAGAAGTAGCCGGGCAAAGTTCAGTATAGTCAGCTCCTTGTGCTTACAGAAAGCGTAGAGTAACGCGCACCTGGGGGGCGTCAAGGTAACATCTCATCGACTTACATAAACGGCCACACACACTCTTTGCTAGAATTAGTTAGGCTGGCTAATACAAAAAATCTTAAGAGTGGCTGAAGGTCTGTACAAGCTAAATGACATCAATCCTGAATGTGTTTCAGCAGGCTTATACTTCAGTTTCTCCAGTTTGCCTAAAAACAATGCACAGGGGGAGGAACACAATTCCTTCTCCCCATGCAAATTACAAACTACTTGTTATAACACAAACAGAATGCCAAACTATCTGAAAAGTGTCTGCTCCTTTAGTAACTTACCATGACCTGAAAGTTTAGATTTTGCTTTTCAAAGCTATAAAAATGTTCTGGACATCACAATTCAGCAAAATAAGCTGCCTACAGCTCTTATGTAGCACCTGCACCGTGCCTTCTCCTCAGCAGTGCTGGCTTCCCTGGTGTTTTATTTTTTAGGAAAAACAGCCAAGCTTTTCACTGCCTCTTGCATTTCTACCAGTGTCCCAAACTGTTGTGAGATCCAAATGCTGAAGCAGGCACTTGTGTGTCTCCTGAATGCCTTCAGTCATGGGTCTTCAGGTTTGATCTTCTGCCTCAGCCTTACTTGAACTCCTGACTAGCACTAGTTCCTAGAAGAACTCAAAAGCATGGACATCATTATTGTTACCTGATTTTGCAGATGGGGAAACACACAAGAGTTGAATGTCCTGTTCTGTCTTGCTACGCAGTACAATAGCAGCAGATTTAGGTTCTTTTGAGCCCTAAATTGAGATCCTGTGCCTAAGCAGCACTAATCCAAATTCAGTGTGGTTTATGGATTACACGTCAGCCTTGTATGTCTTAGTCCTTTTCTCTTTACAGCAGATAATGGGTGGAAACAGATTTGTCCAGCTCCTCCAATGTGTGTTTGAGCTGACTTGGGGGAAGGATGTGGACAAAGACTGCCTGGGTAGCACTGGGTAGTGCTGTTAGTGCTTTCTGCACTGTTCTCTCTGCTGATTTGCTTTCTGTTATAAAGTCATTGGCTGTGAATTCTGAATTGCATTTCCCCACCACGCATTGAAAACTGAGCTACCAAAAGAGAGAAAGTGAGTGTCCCACTTCTCTATTGGTGTTCTAAACTTTAATGTGCTGTGTTAGAGGAACTCTATAGATCTGTACTTTCCTCTGTACATTTCTAGCCATTTACCCTTTATTGCTGTTTCAGGGTGCATCCTGATAAGAATCACAGAGCACTTTACAATCACCAAACTGTCTTGTTTACTTTAGGTATTGGTGTGTTTCTAATTTCACCTCAGTTTTTTTTATCTCTAATAGCTCAGAAGAAGCTTGGCAAGGACAACTATAAAGAACTATGTACCTGAAAATACTGAACCTGATAATTTTAGGGGATTCAGCTCCAAAGATTGAAAGATGTATGACAGAGACTTGTATCTAGATTAATGTTCTCTAGGAGTGCTCATTTCTCCAAACTGATTGGAGAACAACTCTTATGACCTATTTGAGATATGTTTCAGAGCTTATGGTACAGTTTATCCTAAAAGTGTCTGATTTCCTCCTTTCCATTCAAGGGATGTCTAAGTGACATGCTCAGATGTAAATATCTGTAGTAGACCTCTGAAGTTCGGCTAATGAATTCTACCCTTTTTTTCTACTTCTCAGGTTTAGGTCCTCAAAAGCATTTCATATAAAGAAAATAGTATGGCATTCTGACTTTCTAGAGGAAAGATCCTGAACAAATACACTCACACTGAAGAAAATTAGTGTAATAAGAAGCATAGTTGTGCTTTTGCTTCCTTAACTGGTTTGGATGGGAAGTGCTTTTTGTGAGCAGTGATAACCAAAAAGGTTTGGGAGTCTTCACACCCTGAGGATAGATTGGACTGACATATGCAGTACAGTCTAAAAGCAATAATGTACTGGTCCCCCTTGCTGGCATTTAAAGTTCTCCCCCCTCTTCTGTCTGAGATGAAAACACTCTGAATGTAAGGGGGGTGGTGGTTGCTGCCTAGCTAGCATGGTTGAGATGTCACAGCTCCTGTTACAAAGCCTTCTCCCACTCAGAGCTATGCTGTCTAAAGCCTTGTCAAGTAAGAGCACTGGAAGCAAGTGCCAAAAGCAGGACTGCAGAACATTTTAAGATTCTGTATCCTCGAAGAATTGCCTGAAAAGACAAGGCCACATATTTGAACAGACATTTAAAGGGACACTGCTGAAAATTGCCCTGCTGTTTGAAGACATCTGCTCTGTTTTCACAACTAACACTTAAGATTATTATCACAGAAAGAGATGAGATGATAGGGAAAACCATTATTTGTTTCTCTTCTCTTATCACTTCTCCACACACTTACCAAGACTTTCAACACTAGTTGTGCTGCTTCAGTTAAAAAACAGCAATTTGTCTTTTTTCTCTATGAAGCTTGAGAGAGAAACTTAATTTTGTATAGGAGAAGGTGGTAGTAAAACATTACTTGGCAGGAAGTATCTGAAGCTATTCAGAATTTGAATGCTACATTTGAAATTAAAAGTCTTATTTTAGAAAAAAAATTATACTTCTTTGAAGTATATTAAAAAAAAATTGAATACAAATTTTGTGAGTTCACTTGTCTGTATAAGGTCTAAACTTCCCAGGGCTTCCAGTCTTCCTGCCCTATCAAAAGACAGCAGAACCATCCTTGATGCCGCTATGTAAGAAACAACAACAAAAAAAATCTCTCTCTCTTCAGTTTCTTCAATTCCACGTCAAAACCATACACTGGATATACATTTTGACATCCATACACCAAATGATGCATGAAGACTAGTAATGAAACTAGAGATACTGAAGTTCAGCATTCCAAATCCCAGTGCTGATGCAAAGATATAATTGTGATTTCACAAAAAATTTGTAAATGTCTTCTACCTCAGTATTGTCATTGTAGAAAATAATCTCCATAAACTAAAGCCCCGAGGCAATGAATATTCTCTTGCATATGGAAAAGGCTATGCAGTGGTGTTGGAAAACCCGGATGTCTGCTTTGCGTTGAGCCAAAGCTGGCTCAGGTTCTCAGATGGAGGCACTCCAATGAACTTCACAGTGACAGTGATACTCAGTGAATGATGTGACTTTTTAGTATGCCTGGGAAATTGGCAACATGGAGCTCTGCGTTAGCCAGTGTAAGTAAATACCCACTGAGTCAGTATTAACTGCTGCAGGTTCTTTTTTCATCTTGTATATCCTCCTGAAAGATGCTGTACTAGTAAAAGCTGGAAAGCTTTCATAGACTTTCAGGAGCCAGAATTCACTATGAAACCTCTAACAGCTCTTCCTTTCCTGAAAAATAAACTGCCTCCCCCCCAAATGAATAGACCTTCCTTTTACTTCCTGACCATTCTTATGCTGGCTCATTTTATCCCTGTCAATTATACAAATGGATTTGTCTTTCTGAAGGATGACCATTCTGAAGGATACTTGTTATCATCCTTAGGTCCAGGCACACAGTGAGTTGGGTTTTGCCATGACTTTGTGTTAGGCACCCAGCTCCATGATGAGATATGACAATTTGGTTAAGGTATCCAAGTTTACTTCAACTCTATCCCTTTACTGTATGGTATCCCAAAAGGCATCCACTGTAAAGAAATACTGAACAGAATTAGAATGGAAGTGAGCAGTGCTTGAAGGAGCCCACAGAGGAAGAAACTTAGGATTTCTCTTTGGTAGTAGACTGCCCTTTTCACTGGAATACACCCCTGTCCTCTCCTGCCTCTACTTTTTGGTCTCCCTCTGTGGGAGGAGTGGGGAATGGCAAAAGACATTCTAAAGCAATTTTCCCACTTCCTGGTATGTGTCTAACTATTACATATAAAACATGAAGAACTAGATCAACTCCTTTGCTGACAGTTTAGTTTCATCCAGAAATAATCTAAATGCTGTGCATTGTGCTGACCTTGGGATAAAGATGCTTACTGAATCAAGGTCTTTGGGGATTTAGATGAGAGCATGTCTAACTAACAAACCTGAAACAGGTGGAAGAAATAAAGATGCACAGTGAGTTTCAGCACAGTTCAGATACTGGTGCCTGTTGGCTTGCACAGGAGCAGAACTTAGAAGCTGGGTACGTACCTAGTGTATATCTTGTGAACCTGTAAATGTTAGACATCTAAATTCTACAAAAGTGAAAATTAATTTTATGAAACCTTTTGAGTATGGGCGTCACTGTATCTCTTCTCTTTATACACAGTGAAATAACGTAATAAGATTCTAGTCTCATGAAATATGAGCCAATTTCTTCAAAGAGGTAAGGCTTTACTTAGTTGGACTACTTACAGAATAAGGTACAGCACTTCACAGGTAAGATGATGAAATACTGCTTTGTGACTGAACACATGTCTTGGTTCTGCTTTGGGAATTCCTCATACAGCATGTAGCTAAGCTACGGTACTCCTCGCCTCTGGACTCTGTGCATGCAAAAAGTTTACAGAGGTTTAAAAGGCAAGTGGATAAACTAATTGAGGAAAAAAATCCATGAAAAGTTATTAAATACACAGGCAGCACTTCTGATGCAGGAGAATCACAATCACTGTGTCTATCTCTTCCCTTCCCCAAGTCACTACAATCTTGCCCTGTTTTATTACTTTTTCTGAGTCACCTGCTCCTGGCTGTTACAGAAAGATGCAATTCTAGATGGATCCTTAGACTTATCATCTGCAACAGTACATTCCTGTGCAAGGGAAGTTTCAGACTGATGAAAGTCAATTGTAACAGCAGCAGCAGCACAAACATAATTTTCAGTGTAAGTACACTTACAGCAATTTCCCTTTGGCTTAACTCTATTGACTTCAAGAAGGCTATTTTTGATATGCCCTAATGTGAGATCATACTAAGGCATGCTTACTTCCTTCAGGAACAACACAGTCTACCAGAAAAGTCAAAGGACATAGAGCAAATGGCTAATTCCATAGGAAAAATGTTTAGAAAGATTTAATTAGGACTGCAGCAACCACTGGATTGCTTTTTAAAGTTAAATTCAAGAAAACTGACTTCCGTAAGCATTCTAACAGTTCAGGGAGAATTCACTCTGCATTACTCTTTCTCAGACTGGTGATTGGTTCCTATACTGTGAAGTAATCTTTTTTTAATAACTGAGTAATTTCAAAAAAATCAATATAAGGTATGGTTATGTCAGTGCATACAAAGCCTCGCTCAGCTACAGTTTACTTAATCTGCTGATTACAAATGGCTTAAAATAAAACTTCTAAGATGAACAGACATGATAAATGTGTCAATATTTCCATAATAGTCATTACATCATTTTGAAGATCTGTTGATCCTTCAGCACTTGACATGGCTTTAAACTGCAGGAATTTGGTTGACTATATTTTTGTAATCCTATTGCAGAGACACTGCATCTTAAAAACTCTTTTTAAACACTTTTCTCTTTCTGTTTTTCTCTTATGAATAAACTTTTCTCCCTTCATTTTACCTTTTTATTTTCTGAATAAAAATTTAACAGCTGCTTATATAGTATATTGATTATTCTTTGCCCTCAGCCTGTTCTAAATAGTCAAGATTTTTGCTTTTATTAATGACACTATCAATCTTTAATCCTTATGCAAGAGAACGAATTTGTCTTCTAAGCATCAAAGATATATATTTGTAGTCACTTATAGAAGTTTTTAACATCTTGCACAGATCTGCCTATTTAAGTTCTACTCAAAGTAGTTTTAGAGAAGCTGTAGTTGAAAATGCCTTTAAAAATTCACCAAATAAGTGGACTGTAAGTCATGGAACGCTAGTGCAGGCCAACCGCTGGCGTCCTATTGTGCTAAATGCTTTGAAAACACAAAGAAATTAAAGTTCTCTGAGGCAAACAATTTATGTTTGAAAGAGATGATTCCCATTAGTAAGTGTTCCAAGAACAGATTGCTGGGTATCTAAAAACTGTTGCCAACCAATACATTAACTGGCTTGGTGCTGTGCCTGAAGACTGGAAACACTGTGTTCAGTGCCATGTCAGTTCATGGGATTGGCCGTTATGTTTGGAAAAGACACCATTTCTTGCTTTGGATCAGGCTTTTCTGTCCCTTTTGTAGGGAACATCTACACACTGGGGGATGTTATGATACAGCCAAGAGATGTGATAATTAGAGAAAACAGTCACCTTGCTTTCACTCTGTTGTTGCACAACTTTCTATGGACTGGAGTGGAATCTAAAGCTGTGTTCCTGCATCCATCTTTCTGAAAAGGGAAAGAACGTTTGATATTTCTTGGATCTTGAAAGTAATGCAAAGTAAATAAAATGTTTGAAGTAAAAAAAAAAAAAAAGGAGAAAAAGAAACATTGAGCAATTTAGGTTGCAAGGGCCTTCTGGAAGTCATTTAGTCCAACTCTTGCTCAAAGCAGATACAGCTTTGTATGGCAATGGGTCTTGCCCAGTCCAGTTTTAAATATCTCCAAGGATGAAGATTGCACATCGTCTCTAAGCAACTACTTCCAATATTTGGCTGAAATCATGGTGAAAAAATTCCTTGTATCTGAATTTTTCCATATTCCAACTGGACACATTGCCTCTCACCATTCCCTGCCCTGCACTTGTTCTGTGGGCTGCAAGATTCAGAATGACATACTTCAAGAATAGACCTCTGGGAAAAGAATCCACTTCAGTTGCTTTCTCATGGAGATTTCACACAAACAGACATTGAAACTTGCAATTTGTGTTATTTCAAATACAAAAAATTAAGGGAAAACATACCCCAATAATCTGTCACATATTTATTACATATCACAAAGGAGGAACAGTGCTTACCTCCCCTGATGTCCCAGTTAGACTTACAGTGCACAGGTAGAAAATATTGTGGCATTAGTATCTCTTGTGGAGATAGTTTTGGCTGGAGCTGAAGTGCTCTATTGCTGCACCAATAGAGAAAGAACCATTTGGGACATGTAAAACAAGGAAATAAGATACTCTAAACAAGCGATCTCTTCAAAGCAGCCCTATTAGAAAGATACTGGACCGTGACTCCTATTTTTAGTGAGGAATCATATTTAAAGTCTAAAGTTAATCTATCCTCTTGGCCAGTTAATACCAAACATAATTAATGCTAGATGTGTATATAAAAAAGCCCCAACAACTGCAACAAACTCTTTGGTACTAAGATAAGCTTTGAACTTTCATTCGTAGCTATACCACAAAGTTCCATTACAGCATTTGATGAGAACAAATTAAACTAACACACCATCACTGTATTTTAGGTTTTGGTGGCCTGCTACAACTGGGCTTTGAAATGTTTGGGGGCTTTTCTGCTTGACTGTTGATTAAAATAATGACTTTTTGCCAAAGGGCATTTGATCAGGAAAATAAACTTTCCTTTTCAGAGCTGTAGCTTAACGACTACTTGGAATTTAAAATGGTACTCTGTAGTTACTGAAACAGGTGATCTGAGAGGCAAGAGTAACACTGAGTATTCCTATAACAACAGCTAAAGAGTTTCTGAAGTCCAGATATTTAGCTGCATTTATTCATTATGTCCACCAATATTTTCCACTCTCTTTACAATTAAAATATTCTGGGAAAAATACACATTGATCTTTAAGCTGTATGTACTCAGAATATTTGCTTACATGCATATATATACATATTTAAATTCTTTTCCCAAACTGTTTAATTTTATGAATAATAATAATAATACTGTTCCCTAGTGATTCCTGTGATGTTTCTCTATCCCTTATTTGTTCCTCTTGCTCTAGTATAAGAAAACACCCTAGATCGATGTGTTTTGATCAATAAGTGAGCTACTTCTGCTTCTGAATATATCCAGGAAGACTATTCATTTGGCAATAATATTTTTTTTTTCTTGCAAGTCAAGTGCTTTCAGAAGCTGGCTATGATTAAAGCTGTCTCTTGAGAACATTGGGAGGGTTTTTAACACAATTGGCAGACCAGAATAAAATGGTGTCTCACTCTGAACAATGATTGTGAATTTGGGAATCAACTAAGAATTTAGGCATTATTTAGCCAATAATTATTAATTATCATTTTGTGTCCCATCAGGTGGAAATCCTTGATTGGGAGACAAAGAAACAGCTATGCTTCCTAGATAAGGTAAAACAAAAATCTGTTTAAAAGGGTAGGTGACCTTTTAGAAATTAATAACTTTTCTTAAGTAAACTTAATGTTTATGAAGGGTATTTCATCTCCTGCTAGCCTTTCTTTGGCCACTTTTAACAATTATGCAAACTTCATACTAAGTGCAGTGTACTTTGACCCTTTTCCAGAAGGAGCTTTCAATGCTGTTGTAGTAATTCTTGATCGCTGCTAGAGAAGCCGCCTCTGAAACACGTGTCAAAAATTGTCCTTCCTTTTTCCTGTCATACTTTGAATCATTCTTCCCAAGGCTAGACATCTGTAAGAAAGTTACACTGTTACGTTTTCTAAGTCACATTTCTATTTGACTTAATAGTTTTAAACCTAGTACTTGTATTTCAAAATATGCATCTTACATATGCAATATTTTTGTTGCCTAGGTGGAACCAAAAGCCACAATTAGAGAGATCAGATTGATGTTCCATAAATTATGTGAGTATAACTTCTGCAGCAGCTCACATCACATCAGAATATCCACTATATAAATAGGAAAAAATTACATAATTTGAAACGTGATATACACACACATAGTTCTGATAACCTGCACATGAATGTGATCACAGTGAGATTTCAGTATAATTATTTTATACTCTCCTAATACACCTTTGTAATTTTTCTGCTGCATAAATCATCACTGATATTATTGTTGAATAAATATTCATAAAAATCTTTAACTAAATCTTATCTTGTTGTGTTGCATTCATTATAATAGTGGATGACCTAAACCAAACATTGTATATCACACTATTCTGTATGGTCTTACAGATCCTCGGTGGTATCCAGCAAGGCAGTCAATAAAACTTGATCCAAGTAAGTACTTGTGAGGACTAGAGTATCTAAACTCTGAGCAGGGCCCTGGCATGAAAGGTGTACTTTTAATGGCTATTAGCTCTTGAGTTTCCAGCTATGTTAATTAGCACTATTGAAGGCTGAAGAGAATCCATAACAAATACAATTCTTTGGAAGTACTGAACAAAGTTTCACCATTGCGCCTGGTTCCCGGTGCTTGGTAATTAACTGAGGAGTTTGCACATTGTTCCAGTGCACTTTCTAACTACTGAGCTCTTTAACTTCTGCTTTCAAGACAGGCAGCACAGAATCTAGATATCAATTTTCCCTTAGCTGCAGTGAGATGATCTCCACGGTGAGGCTCAGCTGGGAGTACTAAAAAGGGCTGTGAGTCTGAGCGATCAATTCACATAATCCTCTGCTCCCAGGCAGGAATTACAGTTCTTTTGAGGTGAGCTAATGCAAAACACATTGCCATGGATGTAGCAATTGCTGACAAAGCTGATGCCAGCCGGCTGACTTCATTCAGTTGTAGGTGTTGCTACTAGAAGCCTCTTAGTACATGGCCTCAGTGCACAAAAGAAAGTCTAATGGCCAAACTGTGTAAATTCATCTTAGTACTCAGTATAAAACATAAAACATTTTTTCTTTTGCTTTCATTAAGCATTATTTTATTTAAACAGTCCATTAGAAGTATGCTGGAGAAGATTAGTCCATTTTGTAAAATCTATCCATGGAAAAGAAAGGTATGAGTACCTTATTTCCTTCTTCGAAGGTCTACCTTGTAAGATTCCTTCATGAATGTTGTGAGACTTGCCATGAGAAAATGCTGGCCTTCTGGAGATTTCCCCAACCTAGGCATTAAAAGCTCGAGTACTAGCTCATGTGGAATCACCTCCTAGCTGGTTGTTTGGGAAAACAAAGGCAATGAAAATTTCTGTAGGAGAGATTTCCAATCACAGCTTATCCTATCTTATGTTTGTTTGATGATGAGCAATGAGAAGAGTGGAAGAGAGAGGAGAGAGAGAGAGGTGCAGGTGACTAGGAGGTCAGCAAATTATGCTGAAGGGCAGTGACCCATCAGCAAATTCTGCTGTCTACTAGAATAGGCAGGCAATACATAGGATTGAGAATTCTTTTAACTGTCTTGGTGTGAATAGAGGATCCAGGCTTATATATGATTACAGGGATAAATAAAAATAAAGTATAAATATTCTTAGTCTTTTTATTGAGATTCCGATAAACCCATGTCGCATCAAAGAATCTCACAGATTGGTTAAAGCACAATATAAAGCTAATATGCTACCAAAGTTGACTTGAATTTCACTGAGACGTAATTACTTCTTTCCTTCTCAGAAGGAAAGTCCCTGAGGGATGAAGAAATCCTGCAGCACCTCCCTGTTGGCACAACTGCTACCTTATACTTTAAAGATTTAGGGCCACAGATAGGATGGACTACGGTGAGCTATGCTTCAAGTCTGAGCCATTTTAATGGCTAATATTCCATAATTAATCCTTACACCACTTTTTGTCTCTCTCCAATATTTCTGCATGATGTCTGCTCTGATAGTGGATGCAGGCAATGAATCCTCATTGCTTCAGTTCATTTAATCAGGGAAAGCAGTAACAGTTACTGTGAATGCCTGGTTCATTGGGAGAGTAGCAGTGGAAAACTTGCTGCAGGGTACGTTGACTCTACAGAACTAAGGTCCAGGTTCTCAAATGGATTTAGATGTCTACTGCAAAATCACTAGGAACTAGGTGTCTAAATGCCTTTGGGGACTGCTTCACAGGACCTGTGCAACTCCTGACAAAGATTAGGATTATACTGCTGTAAATTTCTCCTGCAAAGAGGCCTGTGAGCAACTTCACGTGCCAGTACTTGAAGTCACTTCAGCAAGGAAATTCAGACAGTAAGATCCGTTAGCTGCCTGCATGTGACTGTGTCCCAGGGTGCTTGTGTCAAGCTAACGACAGCTGATAATTTCTGCAATATTAGTAGCCATCCACAAGGACCTTGCATATTTACTGTCTTAGCTCAAATGCAAATTCTATCACAACTCCCTTGGCAGGCAACGCAGCACTGCTATTTATTATGCAGTGAGGTGACCAGTGACCCTTCCAACTCTTTAGAAGGTCCTTGCTGCACATATTACAGTAGTTCCAATAAAACAGCACAACATCAAAGGAAAACTACCCCATAATTTAAAGGCATATTTACCATTTCTTAGCTATGAGACACTAATAAAATCTTGTGTTGACTACAAATAGCAAAGACAACATTAATAGGAGGTAAAATAAAGAAAGTCAAATGTTCTGCAAGACTGAATCTTCACATTATTTTTTTGGATGCAATGCTGATAAATCAGGCAGCTATTATACAATCCAAAAAAACAGGAAGACAGGCAAAAACTTCTAATGGCAGTGTAGACTCCAAGACACACATACATTAATATATACCAAAATATCACAGTGCAGAGTAACACCAGGCTTCTGCCATTCCATAATCTTTCTTTTACGTTCTGCTCTCCCTGCCCTTCAAGCTGCTTCATTCAAACATAAGCCAAGAAATACTTCAGTATTATCAAATAAAAAAGACAAACTTTTCATCTACAACCAAATCTGATCTGCCCCAGAGAAAATGCTGATTGTAACAGAAGTCAATGACACAACTTTCTGAGTATCAAAATAACTCTAAACACATTAGAAAACAGTGATTTGGGGTTTTTTTTGTTTGATTTGTTGTTGAGTTTGTTTGTTTGTGGTTTTTTGTTTGGGGGGTTTTCTGAAAGAAGTACAATCAACTTCCCTTCTTTCTCCATAAATGAGGTATGGGCCTACTTTCCTCACTTACAGAAGTGTGGAAAATTCAACTGTTAATATTTGGTCCAAAGTTAACTTCGGTTTAGAGTGATGTTCCTAAGAAATGCACACCTATCTGAAATGAAATCAAGTTAGGGAATAGCTTCTTTGGTTTCCTTTCTTTTTTTTTTTTCCTCTTTCTTTTTATTTTTCTCTTTGTGTTCAAATTAAAGATTGTTCGAACATAGAATGAAATTATTGTTTCCCAGGACAACTGCTGTGCTAACTGTTCACACAGATGGGGTCACTGTGAACACTTACAAGCTGTTTCCAGTTTAAACAAAATTCATTTAGTAGAAGCAGAACTATTCTTTTTCAAGACAAATTCTTCACCAAATTTCATTTTAACTCAAAATAAAGAAACAGTTTTGAGTGGGAGAGAAGGGTGAGAGCTGCATAAATGTAATGTGCATGCGTATTTGTTATGATCTATGGGCTGACATTGTTATCTTTTCATACCCATACTGTGTCTGCTGCGCTGGCAATGGCTGTTTGAATGAAACTGAGGCAAATCATTGCGAAACATTTACGTGCATGTCTACCAGTTTCATAGCCCAATCCCAAAATTGCTATTCCCTCTCTGCCTCTCTTAGTGCCATCCTGGGTCAGTGGAAGTGTTTATCCCACTGCAATAGTTATTGCAAAGAAACCAAAGCAAAACCATCATCTAATTCAGCTGTCTAATTATTTTCTCTCTTTTTGCAGGTATTTTTGATAGAATATACAGGTCCATTGTTCATCTATTTTCTGTTTTATTTCCGCATGACTTTTGTCTATGGACTGGATGAGAGGTTTACATCAAGTCCGCACCCAGTAGTTAAGTAAGTCTATTTGCAGGCGTGAGCAGTATTTCTCGTAGTCTTATTCCAAATGTCTTGCCACTCTTGGTTTTTTAAGCACTCTTAAATGCTTTTGTCTTGCTGTTTCTAGCTTGGCATGTATCTGCCATTCTTTCCACTACATCAAAAGGTTGATTGAAACAGTATTTGTTCATCGATTCTCCCGTGGGACTATGCCACTGAGGAAAATTGTGAAGGTAAATTGTGTCAGAACCTATCCACAGCCCCCCTTACAAATCCAACCTACCCAATCTATGCTCTGCCTCTGCAGCACGGACTTTTTGGTGTGGCTTTTGTAACAATGTACAACAAATCTCACCCATAAAGCTGTAGTTCTTTTAGAAGATTTCTTAATGTCACTATTGTATAACATACATGCTGCCATATTATTACTAATATTATAGTAGTCTCATTACTTTTTAGAACTTTAAACCTTCAGCATACCCTTCCTTTTCACTCAGCCAGCTCCTTGGGTGTGAAGGTTTTAGTAACAATGTTAACTTTAAAGGTGGTACAGGCAGGAACAATGTTGGGAGAGTTGCTTTTTTAAAAAAAACAACTATTTTTTGTAACAATCATTTTACATCTTCTTTGCTCCGTACATTTTCTTTGTTGTTAATTTACCTTTGATCCAGCAAAAGGCATCTTGGTTGTTCTGCATTTTCTTCTCCACAGGAGCATTCCCTAAAATTACCAGCACTGCTGTGGCACAGGGAAACTGTTGGGATTCAGACTCCCTGTTTCCTAGATATCTGCAAAGTAGTACAATGACTGCATGGTTATGCATGGTTATGTAGTTGTTGGTGGCCTAGTGGTTAGCATGCGGGACTCTCACCGCTGCAACCCGGGTTCGATTCCCAGTCCCTCCCGGGCAGATGGAACCCATTAGCCCTGTGAGGCCATCCATCTATGAGAAGGACACTCTAAACAAACCTACGTCCTGAGGACCTCACTGCCATTGTCCAAGCTTGCTTGGCCCCGGCAGATGAACCTTAGGATTAAAGGGTGGGCTCAGTTCAGCGCAGGCTGTGTCTCACCTAAAAAATCCATTGCGCAGGCTGGAAAGGTAAAAGACCTTTCCCCAAATCTTCGTTCGCGAAGATGGGCCATTATTATTATTATTATTATTGTAGTTGTTTTACAAATGTTTGCAACAAAGCACACACTAGTTGTCAAAAATACGCCTTATACTAAGGAAGACAAGAGATTATCATCTCAACTGGAAAAGCCTGTGGTATCAGCACTTGGGTATTTAACATTTGAGATTTAGACAGTCCCTTGTAATTTGCTTTACCAGGGATACTTCCAGCAGTGGAAGCTCTACCTTGTGGCTACCTCCTTACTGTCCAGTGGCTCTGGTCGTTCTGGTGGTAGCTTTTGAAACGAAAGAAGGGCCTGTAGTGGAGCAGTGGCCCTCCAAAAGAATCTTCCCTAGCAACTTATTGTGCTTCCTGCAGCAAGAGTGCAGGCATTGTTAGAAGGTTCACAGATCTTGACACAACAGTAGCTAATGCATGTTAAACAGTAGATAAATGAGCAACTTTACCTCGAAAAAAAATCCGTTCAGTGTGATAAATCTTCGTTTTCTCAATGCTCTGACAACTACTTGTTCCTTTCAGACCATACAAACTGTTGATGCTAAAACTGATATTTTCACCGGTCATTCTGATCACTTCCTCTTTTCCATCTTCTCAGGCTGGTGGCACTTGCTTTCATCTGTAAAGTTGCTGACAGTTCTTATTTTACGTGCTTAGCAATGCTTGGGTTTGATTTGCTTTTATAATTTCATTGACCTGGGTGGTGTTACTCCAAAATTGTGACAGTGAGAAAAATATCACATCATCTTCACTTTTTTCCATCACATTCAAATGGTAGACAAAACTTTCCTACTTTCAGTGTTTGATCACATACACAGCAGATATAGGTAGCTTATTTCCTAAGAACAGTGGAATGCCTTAACAGGAGACACTTCAGTCTCAATAAGCAGAAATCTGAGACAGGACACAAACCATGAGATTTGTGATTTTCATCCTTTTTTTTCCCAAATGAAAATGGGAATAAATTATGTCCTACAATACAGCAGCTTCACCAAAAGCATTTCATGCTACATATTAAGATAGTGTAATTCTTTCTAAGATACCTGATTTTTCAAGGCATTGCAAAGGTAGAATAACTGGTTTATCTGGACTTAGTAAACAAACAACTGGCTCAAGGTGAATAAGATAGGGATTAATATGCAGCAATTGTGTGGTAATAAAGGAACTAATTGAAGGAAAGTGCCAGAAAAGGATCTGTCAGACCTTTAATAATAGGAAAGTACCAGTGGAATTCCTCAAAAATTAGTATCATGATTAGTCTTACATGGTCTTTCTTTACCCATGAACATTTACATGAGTAAAAAGAAGGGATATCATCGCTTTCTAGAAAAACATCTGGAGGAAAGGAAACACTAGACCTCATAAATACCATTAAACCGGAAGACAATATAATAAGACAAAGAGAATAGGGATCAAGAAATAGGGCTCATCAATTGCAGTAGAGCGGACAAAAATCCTAACCATAACTTCACGAATTTAGGAATAATTTATTCATGGGATCCCTGCAATATCTGAACTTGACCTGTAAGAGGTTGTTGTAAAGCTTTATTATCCACCTAGAATATGAAAGATTTGCTTTCTTTCAAAAGAAACACTTTCTTTTGAAGTTTATGAAGTCTGCATGTACTCTGCTGTTCCTAGCTGAACCTCACTAGAGGCCTTTGTATGAGCAATAAGGCTTCTAGTGGGATCTGGGCATTTATAGTACTAATGCTAAGGTCCTTAACAGTGGTAGACTCCTTTTCTTATAACTGAGGAATACTCTTGCAGTATATCATGTTCTTTGGCTGAATAGTACTTGTTCAGTTTAATTACAACATGTATTTTTGGGGGCTGAGCCACAATAATCAATTTATTTAATTTTACTGTACTAAAATCCATTGCCATATGTTCCATCCTGTGCCAAGCTGTGAAGCTAAGGAAAGGTTTTTCTGAGGGTGCCATTCTAAGATTACAAGCAACTGTTTCCACCTCAGTTTGTACAGCAATTAGTGAATTGTAAGAGCTGGCTGAAGAAGCTAGTGTTAGGGAGGAAGTAGCAGTTTATGGATAGGACACTAAATAGATTGTCCCTAACTGAAGTCACTCTTCTGATTCTGCTGCATTTCCTGGGGAAAAATGAAATCATCACAGGGAAGTTATTTAATTTCTCTGCTCATTTGTCCCACCTAACCTGTAATTACTGGTTAATAATTTGCTCTTTCTCATCAGTTATCTCTTAATATATAATCTCAGAGCAAGGACATACTGTGTGCTTGTATTACAGCATACCCAAAAGGTCTCTGGGCACTTCAGTGGTTCAATTAACTCTGAAAAGAAGGTGGAAATGCAACTGAATGTTTGACCCTACTGTTTGCAGCAGATGAGGGGGCACCAGCATTTTCAGAAAAATGCACCATCAGACACTGCAGTCAGCTAGTGCGGGTTCCAGACGCTGAGGTAATCACTTTTTCAGGGTATTATTGCTAGAAATGCAGTTCTGGTATATACAGGGGGAAAAGACTGCAAAATCCAAAGCAAAAAAATAAAGTTAAATCAGTCAGACAGAAAAGAATGCAGCCTTGGATAAGAATTTTGCCTGCATGAGCAGGAAAGCAAAGCTGTGAAGGAGAAAGCAGAAACACCTAGAAATGTCTAAGGTGTAGGAACCCATTTGGAAGGCCAAGAAAAAAGTGTCACCAGAAAGAGTAAGATGATCAGTGTTTTACTCAAGATTGAAAATAGGATACAAGAAAAGATAAGGTGAAGGAAAAGAACAGGGGGAGTGATGAAAGGATGATAGCTCGGGTTTGGTCTTGCTGAAGTCCAGGTGATAAATGAACACGCCGAGGCACTAGGTTTGGTAAAAGAAGACTTCAGTGATGAGAGGCAAGTTTATGAGTTGTTGATGAAGGTTAAAGTCTGCCTGCAAGAAAATAGCTCCTAGAGGTTACAGCCTGGAGGAAAAGAGGAAGGGGCCAAGAAAGGGCCTCCCTCCTACCCACATATATGTAAGGAGGGAGAAGATAAACCTGTCACCAAGTTATGGAAGCAGCAATGAGCATCAGAAAAAACCCCACAGGAGGCAGGGCCAAGGAAACCAAACAAGAAGTAAAGATTGTCATTGTAAGGAGTTTTTTTCAGGGATGAAGCCTGTGAACAAGCTCTGAGATTGGTCAGGAGTGAGTCAGTACAGCCATTAATGACACCTGTGTTGTCAGAGTTTAGAGAATGGAAGCCGGATCACAGAAGGAGAAGGACAGCAGCATAAGGGACAAAGTAAAGATATCACAGTGCAAGTGCAGAGGAAAGCATCAGGCATGATGATTTTAGGTAGGAAAAGTTAAAGCATGGGAAAGAAAGCAAACTGATGGGATGAAGAAGGACAGGTAAGAGAATGGGCAGTGAAAAGTAATAAATAGGGAAGAGAGGGCAGTGCCTAAATCTGATTTTACAAAGACATGTTTTTGTCAGCAAAACAAATCTCTCTTTAACATATAGTGTGTATGTACTTAACTTTGCCCAATAGCTTTCCAGACAAGATATTTTCAATAGTGTGATCATACTTTCTAAAACTGTTTATAAACTTAACAGCTCGAAGATACTTGAGATGAAATCTTAAGTCTGTGAGCACTACATCCTTTTTTTATTTCCTATTATCTTCTCCCACCTTACCACACTTAGTATTGCCATTTTTTGTCGTTTTATCAGTAAGCTGAAGGATTAGCCCATTGTTATCAACAGTCCTTGCAGTGAATACTAGCCTAGAGGATTGTACTAAAACAAAGAAAAATTGCCTGTTTTTCAGAACTGCTTTTATTATTGGGGATTTGCAGCTTGGCTTGCATATTACATCAATCATCCTCTTTACACTCCTCCCTGTAAGTAGCAAAACAACCCACAATGATTTAAGTACCGTTGTGTTTGCGTACTAGTACTAATCATATGTAAACTTTTTTTTTTAATAGCTTATGGGAAAAAACAGATAAATTTTGCTGTGATCATGTTTCTGGTAGGTTTGTTGCTCTTTCTATAAAATGCTAAAATATCTTGCTTTATTTTTTCTGTTGTATAAGTGGAGGAGTGAGTAGGATAAGCAGATACTTAGAACTTGAGCATTTGGAACATAGTACTAAAGCTGACCACTTACATGCAGAACAGTAAATCTGTCAGGTTTTAATGTGGTTTTGTACACAAGGGAATATTTTCATTCAACATCCATTCCAAGACTAGGATATTTAACTGCTGGGATGATCTCTCATAATCTTTAAAAGAAGCTGGAACTACCAGTTTGTGACACTATGTTTAAAAGCCAGTGAGTTTGTTTTGTGAACTGTTTCTTGAGCGTTAAGAATCACAACAGATCATAAAACTCAGAGAACTGACCAACTAAGAAAGTATGTTACTGATCACGTTCAGGGATAGAGTTTCATTTTGCTGAGCTTCAGAAAATTTTACAGCTTTCCTTATGAATCAAAATTCTTCATCACTGTTCATTCTCATAGTTCCTAGGAACATTTCATACACTATAGCCAACAAAGGTCAACAAAGATTTTTCCTACGTCTGCGTAACTTGTTTAGCACATCAGCTGTTCACTTTGACAAATTAATTGTCAGTGACTGCAGGATCTCAAAGCAGCTTCCTAGTATGAAAATTCTATGAGTTCATAACCTATTCACATTTTATAGAGAGACTCCATAACAGAGAGCACAGAGCTGGGAATAAAACTTAGGAGCTCTGACCACTAGTCATTTGCTTTAATGGTTATGCATTGCAGACACTGGAGACTGTCCATAATCATATAAATGGGTCATTTCAATGCACTTTCTTTATAATTGATTGGGGAAGCATCCTTTAAAACCAGTGAAGGAAGCTGGGTCAATTTTACTTCATGATTCATAGCAATTATACTCTAGGGAAGAAAATTTACTTAGAGTTCAACCTGTATCTTCTTTGGGATTTTAATAACTTTTGAGAAACCAAAACTATGCAAATCCATTTTCGGGTGTTTTTAAAGACATAAGAATAACCAAAAGATAAAGCAAGTATCTCCTGGATTTACTTTTATCCCCATTGTTTTATTTAGATCTCATGGGGATTATCTAAGTAGTAAATTTGATCTTTTGACACAGAGTCCACATTTTCTGGAAAATATCATAAATATATAACAGAGTATATAGACTCATGTTTGAATGAAGATATCCTCCTGTCAGACAGCACTCTCGGTTAAGGATATTTATTATGTTTACAACAAATTATTTTCCTTTTCCTAAATTTTTAAAGGACCCCAGGAAATAACAAAAGGAAGAAAAACAAATAGAAGGGAAGCACATTTTTAACTCTGTCATACTTTTTCTTGCAGCTGTGTGAAGCTGGAAATTTTTCCATTCATGTTGCACTCAGTGACCTCCGGAGAAATGGTAAAAACTGAATAATCATTTTTCACTTCGGCACAGCCGTTCAGTACTTCTTAAGTTACTCTGCCTTGTGAAAGACCTGATCCTGGGGGGTGTTGATACCTGTCAGCTGACTGCTGTGGGAGCACAGGTTGCTCAGCACTGTAAAGATTGGATTCTAAGGGAGATCAAACAGTGCAAAGAATCCAACATCAGACTGTTGAACTGCACTTCCTATCTTACTGTAATTTTTATTGCTAAGGGCCAGGTTGTGTTGGGGGGAGCAGTTATATTGGTTACACTGGCAGTGCAAAAGGAAACAGTGCTAGTAAAAGCTATGATTTGGCGAGCAAGGAAAAGTAATTTCACCGGCTTCTGTAGGGGGCACAAGATCTCTGTGCAGATCAGGGTTCCTTGGGCATGAGCCAAACATCTGGCAGCGATCAGCTATGACTGCTAAAATCCCATTCTGTGACAATTTGAGAAAACCTTTAACTTCTAAATTTAAAATTTGAGATACCTCTTCTTACAGGAGTGACTGTGATCAAAGGCATAAGTAGATGACTTTCTAATGCCCAGAACATTTCCCCACAGTTATTCTATTTCTTCTTGTGAGTCCAGAGGACACCCTATCTCCCCATATCCTGCTTGTCCCTCTCACAGTCATGAGACACAGGAGTAGGCAGAGTTGGGTTGTCTTTATATGTATTTAGGAGTGTGAATATTTTGTGATTTGTTTTCTAATCTATAGGATCCAAAACCCGTAAGATCCCATATCCAACAAAGAATCCTTTCACATGGCTGTTTTTCTTTGTATCTTGCCCTAACTATACATATGAGGTATGTATTTTCAAACAAGATGTTTAGATTTTAGCTTTGCTGAATATATTTTCATTTCTTTTGGAATGTTAAACATGGGAGAAATCTCTGAAACAGTTGAGCTCTATACATTTCCCCTCCTCCCCTACACCCCATTAAATCAGACTGTGGACGGGAACTTGTCTGCTCTTCCTCCCCTCCCCTGAGGCAATCAATACTGATGGGGCTAAACTTGAATAGACAGCCCTGACTCTGAGCCTCCTGTGCTTCAGTGTGGCTGCTAGACAAGACAGATACACTGTAAAGCAGTGCAAATTCTGCAGCCAGGGACAGGGAGATTGCCACTGAATGTTGTAATGAGGGGATGGGGATGTCTGGTGGATTTATAACATAAGATCCTAGAAATATCACAGCAGGCAAGAAGAGAGGGTCAGACAAATAGAAGATATTGTGCTAGAGAAAACAGGCTGAAGTCTTCTTTCCCATTCTCTGAAGTTACACAGTCACTTGTGTTGGTGGTGACTGCTTTAGAAGCTTGTATCAGTTTATAATTTAATACTCCTTAATCAGGAGCCAAACTCCTGACTGAGTTCAAAAGCAGATAAAATCAGTGCAACTCAGTGTAACATTCACTCTTGCACAGAAGGACAGCACCAGGTTTTAAATTCAGTGGAGATTAACAGATGTTAAAGAGAGGAGCATTTGGTCTCAGACTATAGAAAGTTACCATTCCTAGCACTGATGGAGGTCTGACAAATACAAATTAGGCAGAGAAGCAGAAAGGACATTGTTGTAAATGCTTAAAATTTTGTCATTGTAATAGCTATGGAAGCAAACACGAAGGTTTTGTTTGTGATAACAAGGCACTGTTCACCATCTTGGCTAAAGGTTATTAACACTAGAAATTGACCTGGCTGACCTTGGCTTTTTTATTTACCTGTACTAGGACAAGGTTATTTTGATCAATAGAGACATAAATGCAAATGCTGTCACCAGAAATATTTTAAATTTCCTTGGCCAAAACAGGTGGGGACCTGGATCAGTTTCACAATCATGACTCAGTGTGTTCCAGGTGAGTAATGTTTTGGTACTTTAACCTGAAGTGATGTCAGCAGCAAGAACATGTATTTAATCTGATAATGAAATGTATCTTTTTCTCCTCTCCTTCCAGTGGGGCTGTTTACCTTGCTTTGCTTCATTCAGATGACAATCTGGGCAAAGGATAAACACTGCACCTACTTACGAGAATTCAAGGATTATCCAAGGCATAGAACGCCAATTATTCCCTTTTTGTTGTAAGAAAAGAAGGTTTAATTTGAATGTTGCACAGAACTTCAAGAAGAAAAACCTCATAAACCTCCTGCCAAATAAATGAATTAATTTAAAGGATTTTGGTGCATGTTTAATCACCACTGCTAAGGGAAATTGTATGCACTTGAAAGCTACACTTCCTTACATTCAAGAATTCTCAACTCACAGGCACCTTAAAAAATAAAGCTTCATTGCAGAGCTGGTAGTCGAAAGCCCCTGCAGTTCACTGTAACCTGATTGACTTAGATTTTTCTCTACTAGCCTATTTAGATTGATGGATCAGAAATACTGACAAGTCTGTGCTGAAAAGCAGCTCCAAATTTAGCAGCGGCATTCTGCAAGACAGAAGTACCTTGGAAGGAGGACACACCAGCTAACTACTAGAGCTCACTTCAGCCAGCATGGCCAGCTGGCCTGGAGACAGTTGCATGATCTGCCTTCTTTGACTTGAAGAAGAGTGTGTGCTGCCTGGAGGCAGGTGCTTTGTAACGAATAAGATTACCAAAGATTATGAATGGTTCCTGGAATAAAGAAATAGGCAATATCTCAAAAACCTGATTTGGGTCTAACCCCTAATTTGCCAAACGAGTCTGAAGTAAGAAGCATTTGTTGTATTTGTGAATGTAACATCCTCTGTTGGGGGTTTTTTTGTTTGTTTTTGGTCTTCATTAGTAAATTGCATACTAGTAAATAAGGTTCAGAAGCACTCTGATCTATATCTTTGATATTTGGCCTGGTTTCATGTAACAATTCCTTACGACACTAAAAGGACCTTTTACCCAAGTATTTTACATGAAGTGACTGCTAGTCCTCAGAATGCTCTTCCTATTTTCAGAGCCAGGGAGAAAAATTAGCTACATTTTGGACTTCCTGTGTTTTCTTTTTCACAAGATGTTCAGTGTGACTTAGTTGGGTTTTGTGTAAATCTGGTAAAAAAGGCTACTGAAATCTATCTGAAGGATATTTTGAAGAAGCTATTTTAGAATATGAAGAGAATGCATAGATACTGTTTTGTTTCACAATTACTTTATTTATCTATAATGGATGTATAGAAAGATTTTTGCAACTTTTTGTAAGGATGAAATATGCAATAAATTCTAGACTATGTTTTGAAATCAGTTGAAATAATTATGGCAAAAAGAGAAGGCTACAGCTGGTTGCTGAAGTTTTGTAATATTTTGTACAGTACAGAGCAAGAATCTTGTTATAAAAAAAAATCTACATCAATTGAAGAACAAAAACTTTCAAAGCAGAAATACATGACCCAGATTTTATTTCTGTATGACATATCTTAGAGAAGATTTCTTAGAAATGGTCAGATCTGGTAGATAACTGAAGCAATATGTCATTATGAATTTGTTTTCAGTATTGTTTTTTTCACTAGTTTGTGAACCAGTGAACCAGAGAAAAGATCTAAATGTCAAATGATTTCCCACTGAGTGCAGCGTGGAGTACAAGCATGTTGAAATTTTCCTTCTAAGGAGAGAGAAAGCACATACCCTATTCATACTTTACACCCACTTAATGTCCAGTCACAGGAAAGAAGAAAAATTTGATCTTGTTTAGTAACAAAGATATCTTTCCAGGTCTCCAAGAGAAAACAAAACTTTTGGCAGATTTGGACATACTCTCTTTCTTTTTAATCTCCATTTTGACATTTGGCCTCTATTTGAGGCAACTTGAAGATGAGTATGAGATCATTTTAATTAATTTTTTTAAAGCATGTTTCTTGTCTGGGTCTGAGATCTGAATTAATTCTTTTTATTCTTGCTGAGACAACCATCTGTTTTCACTGGCAGCCTGGTGAGACAGTGAAGCAATCTCCCAGCACTAGACCCATCAGCCAGCACTGATGTTCTGACCTTGGTAGTCCCGTGCAGGAATCAGCGTGGCAGAAATCCGCTTCTAAGCTGGGCAATGCTCTCTGCCTTGGGACCTGTCTGCTGGCTGGTAGCAGTTGACATAAGGGTTAAACAAGAAGAACCTACCAGCCTGAAAGCACCAGATAGAGAAACTGTCTTTGATGCTATTTATATGTCAACAAGGAGGAATGAGACTTCTCTTCTTGTATCTTATAATCAACTTTATGTTAGAGGAAGGTTTTATTCTATTGCAAGGACTTGCCTTTCCTTTGACACTGTCGTGTCATGTAGTGTTCTTGGTAGAGCAGTAGAAGTTGGCTGTTGCTAGGGCTGTTGTTGAGAGCACAGTGCTCAGAAAGGTGCAAAAAATCAGTGTAATACTGAGTGTGGGAACCTTTGTTATAGCCTTGTGCTGCTCTGGTATGACACATTTTTGCCCTGTGCACACACACTAAGCACTGGTGACTGTAAGAATAGTCTATGCAACTGCCTGCTGACGCAAAGCAGGCGACACCTTTGCTTCGCGGCTGGCTCCAGCTGCACGGGGATGCAAAGGAATTTCCTCATCCTCCATCTGCTGTTTAGCAAAGTTCACAAAAACCTGTGTGAGGAAAGCAGAAAAGGTCTCAATTTTCTTGACTGAGATGAGTTACTGGAATGACCACTCTTCAGGAAGGAGACAGAAAAGGGAATCCATAGACATTAACTGAACTGAGGCACTGCGTTATCAGCCAGGATCATGATTTCCTCATTTATTTTGATAAACTTCCCTGTAAATTCCTTTCTTGTAACTTCCTTCCTTTGGATGTACTTGCTGGCAAATTAAATTCTATTTTTTCTTAAGGAGGAGATGGGTTCAGCAAGGTTTGCACAGCTTGCACAGCGTGAGTTTGGTTGTGATAGGAAAGAGGAGACAGAATATTTTAGTAGGAAGCTGAAAGACAATCTAGCAATCCCATCCATGGAAGACAGCTTTGCATATGTGGACCCTCAGTTACTTAAGAAAGCAGACAGATGGGGCTGATACCCTCTAGGAAGTGGGTGTTGCCAAAAGTCCCAGTGAGCTTTCCAGGTTTTGTGTCTAATTGCTTCTCACCGTATCTCTGAATCAACACCTTCCAAACCTTTTATTTAAAATAAAATGTTATTCTCAGCTCAGCCTCATTCCAAACTGCTGACCTTGCTCAGATGCTGCTCCTGAAGGAATGGGTTGTATGAATTCTGTCATCTGGGAAATGCTGTCTTACCAGCTTTCAAATGGCACCTGTTTATACAGGGAACAAGTTAAAGATTCATACTCATCCACCCTCTTTGATGAGAGGCCTGGGAATTTTGCCTGAGAAAGAGGTGAAAGATAATTCTCTACTCTGAACATTTTGGTCTTTCAGCTGTTTGGATACATCTCCATTGTGTTGCCTGATTCTCACAAGACAGGCTTTCTCGTGGATGTTTTACTTTTTACTCACCTGATCTAAAGTTGTTTGAGACACAGAATATTCTTCAATATGCAAGTTTTCCTTATTGGAGACTATTAACCGAAAAATCTTAGCCAGAGAGGAGGAGCAAATCTGATACTGCAGCATGTTGTAGTGTTTCTCTCTCTGTAAACTCCCAGGGAAGTTCATGCGTATGAATTGCTCAGCAGGAGTAGGATCTGGAGGCAACCCAGACTTTGGAGCTTTGATTTTCAGAGTGACAATGTAGCCATCTCCAAACCTGGAAAGCACATGTGGATTTGGGAATTGGATGAAGAGATGGTTTCGTCATTCAGGAAGGAAATTAATTTTCTGCAGCAGTGAAAACATTAACAGTATTTGAAAGCTATTGCATAAGATGTAGCTTTGTAGGAAGCCCTGTATTTGCCCTGCAGAAGTGGTGCATAGCATAACCGTTGAAATGAGATCTGCTCAGATTATCTGGATTACCACAGAGTTGCACCCAGAAATGGGTCTGGTTAAACACTGAAGAACGGTACACGTGACATACACTAAGTTTTCCCATTAAAAAACACCATAAAAATATTCTACTTACTTGTATTTCAGCTCCTGAATTGTGCCTAGGCATTTGAAGGTACCTTTCACCATGATGGCTAAACGAGTACAGAGGGCTTCACATTCTTCCATACTTTCAAAACAGAGAACAGATATTTGAGATAAAAACCAACAGATGAACTTCATTTACTCTTGGATTCTGAATTCTAACTGTGTTTACCTGTGTGAGGTTAGAACCACCGCTCGCCCATCTCTGAGCACACCAACAATAGAGTCCCACAGGAGGCGTCGGGACTGAGGGTCCATTCCAGTAGTCGGTTCATCCTGTAAAGGAAATGTTAGGGCAGTCAGATTCAGAGAATCAGATAAAAAAGAGAAAATCTATTTAGAAACAAGTCATTGTTTGGACTGTAGCATATAATTGCTTCTCCACTGTAATCTGTACCTTGAGAAAGCACATACACCTTGAGAAGTGCATGAGTGAATGGGTACCGATGGATGTCTCGGCACAAAGCAGTAAGGAAAGAAGTAACAAGAACCTACAGGTACGAACACAACGCTGTCTGTGTAGGGCACAGTTACAGGGAAATGAATGCTTTTTCTGGGCAGCCATGCTTGTAAGAGGAGAATGAGTTCTCACCACGTAATCTTCTTACTTACATAAACATACAGGACATTGCTCAATCCAAGAAACTAATGTAGTTACCCTGATTTACACCTGCTAAGGATCTGGTCCTGCATAAATCAGTTAACTCAGTTAGTGCCAAAAAATGTAAAGAAAATCTTGGATAGAAAAATTTTCATTGAACATTTTGTCTTAAGAAATTATGAGAAAACATTTTATCTGACTGTTTCCTATGCAGTCAGAATACATGTAAGGGCGTATTAAATCGCACTGAGAACCATGCTACTAAAATGTCATTAAAGTATGTCTTTTTAGCCTACAGATTAAGGCGGTACAGTATAATCTAAAGAATTTTTGTAGTAATTGCATATAGAATTTCTCTTTAGATATGCAATTATCTGATAATATATTTTGATAAGAACTACATTTCAGCATTCGTATAGTTTCATATAAATCTGTATAATTTCTTCCAAAGATATTAAAGGCTGCAAAAGGGTAGCTGTCTTCCTCTGTTCTGTTAGAGATGGCAGCAAGGTATTTGCCAGAAGATCATCTTTTACATGAGTAGCTACACTCTGACAACAAGTGGCCGACTGAAACCAAACAAGGATTTAAATTCAGATTTATCTGGATTATAGATTTTATCTCAAAACATTCTTTGTTGAAGATCTTTCTTTCATAATCACTTGGGATCCACTGGAAATATATTTATGCATCCCAGTCTATGCCTGAAATTAAAGAACTCAAAATTAAAATGGATGTAAGTTGAGGGCAGAAACGAGCTTGGCAGGACTGTCATAAACCTTTTGTACCTCTTTAGCAGGCAGTGTCACGAGGTGTTCCATTGCACTGTCACAGAGCTGTGACATGACTCTTACCAGCAAGACGAGTGGTGGGCAGCCGATCAGCGCAATGGCAGTGGAGAGCTTGCGCTTGTTGCCCCCGCTGTAGGTGCCAGCCAGGTGGTCTGCGTACAGAGGAAGGCCCAGCTTCTGGATGCCCCACTCAGCAACCTGTGAGAAAGACCATGTTTTTCACACAGCAGCTAATGCATAACAGACAGGATTGCTGATACATTGCTCTTCTGGCAGAAGCATGACAGTCCCCTGGGTTTTAGCATATTCATTCTGGAACTGGACCAGGGAAGTACAAAAAATTGATGATGATGATGATGATGATGATGATGATGAGGGGAGTTCCAACTACTTGAGAGAAAGCCATAAAGCAACCTCAGCTGTAGATTTCCTATCTGCAAGAATTTAAATTATTTTCTTCTGGAATCTTCATGTTTTCTTTCTTATACATAAACA